TCAAGGGCGAATCTGTGGCAGCTGCCATAGGCCAAATATGGCACTTTTAGGGTTTCCCTCTAATTTAATCGCCTTAAGTCCCTCTCTAGGATATCTCCTTCAGGCTCCACCTCCCCGCCTAGAAACCTTAGCCTCCTTTCCATGAGATTTATCCTGGTTAATTGATTTTGGGTTTGTTCCCTTGATTTGGTAAAGTTTATGAAGGACAGAAGTCCATCTTTGTGCAAGGGATTAAGGAGAGAAATTGGATGCACTATCTTCTCCAAATTTATTAGTGTTTGAAGTGGGACTGTAGGAGAAAGTAGTGCAGAAAGGAAGCATGTCGTAGTGTTTCTAGATCCATCATTTCAAGCGTGTTTTCCTCACTATACTTGTTAGTCGAAGGCACTATGACGACCCATTGGATTTTCTATCCTGATATATAATAGATTGATGTTTTGTTAAGTATGTACTTGATTGGTTATCTATATGATTTCCTATGTTGATGGTTATTGATTATTATTATTATTATTATTATTATTATTATTATTATTATATATATATATATATATATATATATATATATATATATATCGACATGTTGTGGTTTGTTGGGTTAAAGCAGACCTGTTTTATGTTGAAGGCAAGATACACAGGCAGTCTAGATAGACTGAAGGCCTGCGATGTGGTCCAGTCAGGCCAACGGCCATGGCGATCTAGCTAGATTGTAGGACTTGCAAGACGGTCAAGTCAAGCTGAAGGCTCATATATGCATATTGTTATCTATATGATTTTGTATGGTAATTTGGTGAAACTCACTAAACTGTGCCTTACAGTTTGATTGATATGGTTTCAAGTAATTTAAAGAACATAGGCAAGGTGAAGACTTGATCATTTAATATAAAATCATTATTAATCAAAGAACCAAGGAATTAAAGCAAAATGAAATGTTGTAGACTTTTACAATGGACGCAAATGCATCTAATTATAACAAAATCCATTTCTTTTTTTTAGTTTAATTTTTCTAGGCTAGGTTTTCTTTCGACAAAAAAATAACTGAACATAACGTTCATGGTTTATTCTCCCTCTTTCCATATAAATCTATATTGATATATAAAACATGAACTTAAAAAAAAATAAATAAATAAATAATAAATAATAAAAAAACTCACTTCATTTTTTTTATTATTTTTTAAAAATCATGGTTTCTTTTTTATCGAATAAATTAATAAATATAATAAAATTCATATTTTTTTGCTACTCTTTAAACATATATTTATATTGATGTTTAAAAAAAATTTGAAATTTCAATTTAGATTCACATTATGAATCTGCTCATATTCAGAGTTTGAATAACAGTAAGTCAGATTCACATTGTAAATTTCGAAAACTAAATTATATACAGTTCAGATTCAAAATGTGAGTAAATCTATTTATTGATTTTATAAAACTAATTTATATGGAGTGAAAAAGTTAAATTAATATAAAACTAAATAAAAATATACTTCGATTCATACGTGAGTTTTATTAAATTTGATAATGATCAAAGAGTTGAAATAGTGAGTTAGATTCACATTGTTAATGTTAAAATTCAAATATTTATAGTTTAGATTCATAGTGTGAATCTGAACTAATAGAATTTTTTTTAATCGATGATGATGTTTATTAATATAAGAGAAAAATATGATATTTTTGGTATCATTAGTTTTTCTTTGATAAATTAAAGTGAAATTGTGAAAAAAAAAACAACAAACAAGTCCGTTTTTCAAAAAAAAATTATTGTTTTTTATATATCAAAATGGATCTTTATAGAAGCAAGACGGAATACTGTGAAAAATGTTATATTCACATTTTTTTTTGATAAAAACGATGGCTTAAATAAAATTTTAACGAAAAGAAGCGGTGATTTTTTTGGTCAAAATGTGAGTTTATGGTATAATCTAGAGTGTATCATAGGTATAAATGTACATGAATTTCCTTGGCTATTGATCATATTTATTTCTGATGCTCACAATTGGTTTCTTGGTTTTTTTAATAATGGTTCTTTATATATATATATATGTGTGTGTGTGTGTGTGTGTGGGTGTGTGTGTGTGTGTGTGTGTTCAGGTTCATTTGAGAGCATGATAATTTTGTGAGACTTAAAACCAAAATCTAAAAATAATTTTAAAATGCAAAATAAAAGAAAGTTCTGAAAATTAATTTTTTAATTATTATTTTCGTCACTTTAATTACAAAAAAATAATAATAAATAAGTAAAATTACCATCTTTTTTTTGTTAAATACGTGAAATATTCTAATAACATTTTACACTGTAAATATTTTACAGCAATTTTTAGAATGTTAAAATATTCTAATAGATTTGTCAAATACGTAAAATATTCTAATATTCTGCTAGAATATGTAAAGGAAATGTATTTTTATTTATTTATTTGTTATTTTTTTGGTATTTTTTTTAATTTTATTTTTGCAAAATGTAAATGATGAAAATAATATTTGAAAAAAAAATTCAAAAATTTAAAATTATTTTGCATTTTAAAAATGTTTTTTTATCTACAAAATGAGTGGTTATGATGGCGTCTCGTGTTCTTATAAAATCAGCTCGTCTCACAAGAATCTCGTTCACGTTCCTTTGAGACTATGTTAATTTTGTGAGACCGTAAGATCAAATATAAAAAGAATTTCAAAGTGCAAAATAAATGGAAAAACTAAAAAAAATTTAATTATTATTTTCGTCACATTAATTACGTAAAGAAATAAAAATAAATAAATAAATTAGTAAAATTATCATTTTTTGAAAAACACGTGAAATATTCTAATAGAGTGTTATACTGTACATATTGTAATGTGATTTTTAAAATGTTAGAATATTCTACTAGATTTGTCAGATTTGTATAATATTCTAATACTTTTACTAGAATATCGAATAAAATTATTTTATTTATTTATTATTATTTTTTCGTATTTTTTATAAAATTTTTTTTGGAAAATATAAATAACAAAAATAATATTTGATTTTTTTTTTCGAAAACTTACAATTATTTTCCATTAAATTTTTTTTATCTATAAAATGAGTGACTAGGATTACGTCTTACGGTCTGACAAAAGTAGATTGTTTTAGATTATATATATATATATACATATATATATATATATATATATATATATATATATATATATATAATATATATATATATATATATATATATATATATATATAAGCTTAGGTACCCAAACTCATTATACTACATCGTTTTGTATCATATATATACATTGTAATTGTCTAATGTTCTTATAATTCAACTTATAACTTGATTTTATTCAAATATTTTTATAAATTTTTACATTTATTTTCCTCTTACATAATTTTCATTTTCAACTATAATATATATAGCCTAATTGATGTTCGTCAAAAAGATGTGATGTAAGAGGAAGATAATAATGAAATTTTGAAAATCTTATAGTAATCAAGTTAATGATTGAAGTGGAAGAACATTATAATAAATATATATCAAACAAAACGACGTATTATAGTGAGTTTGAGTATCTAAGCTTATATACCATTAAGGGTATATTCACTTTTCATATATATATATATATATATATATATATATATATATATATATATATATATATATATATATATATATATATATATATATATATATATATTAGTTTTTAAGATTCGCTAAAGATTGCTCTTTGTCCCCTTTCTTGCCGCCATGGCTTCTATCTGACGATTAAGATGTATATCGCTATAGTCAAAGGCATAACAAAAAGAAAATAAGACTTCGTTTATTCTTGAACAAAGAATACATATATTTTATGTGTACTAAAAGACACTTAAGAACTCGATAGTTCTATGAATTCTTTTTAGAGAGCTTTCATATTTATTTAAATAACTCTTTTATGTAAACGTGTGATTTGTAACATGTATAAAAATATAATGATTGTTGAAAAATGGGACAAAAGTTACGGATTATTGTTTTTTATATTATATAAATATTAATGATTTGTATGAAGAAAACCAAATTCGAGAGGAGTGGTTTAATGACGGAAAAAGGAACACGCTGATCAATCCACTTTAAACTAGAAAACGTTTATTACATTGAAAAATATAAAAAACGACCTAGCCTGAATCTCGTCTACTAAAAGGCTAAAGGAACGTACCTCATCAGGTTCATTTTCCCACTCTCGTCGACATAGCTAATGAAAATTATAGCTTCCTAAGTTGCAACTTGATTGTTGTCAACATCAGGAGCAAAAGAACAATAATTCACCTAGACCAAGACATCTAACGATCAAAGATGCATCATAGGACATATTCAGTGAAAAGTGAAGCTAGGACTCCAAGAAAATGGACCAAGTCGGACAACAAGTAGATCTAATCAACGCACTAATCAAATTAGTCATTGGTAGAAGTCGTTTCAATCTATAAGAAATTAAAAAATAAATTTCAATGAAGATTAAGTGTGTGGATGAAATATATATAGAGGGGATAATGTCACTGTAACACAATGAATTTTTGTGATTTGTCCGCCTTAACCAATTATGTTTTTTTCTTGCTCATAAGGTTATCTAACTTTTACTTTACATGTCAATTTGGTCATTACCGTTAGTTTTTAACCAATCCTCCGTTAACTAGTTATCAAAATTACATGAATGACCCCAATGGTTTAAATTTCTTTCGTAATTGGTCGTTATCAGTCATGTTTTAAATCACTCGACTAAAACTACTACAATCCTGAAACTCTAGGGACCAAAGTGTAATATTATCATTATTCTCCCCATTAAATCTGGTTGAAACTCGAAGCATACAATTTGATTTCATAAACACCAAAACAAATAATAGGCAAAAAAAAATTGATGTAGTAGTTTTCAGGATTGTAGTAGTTTTAGGTGGGGATTGTGGTAGTTTTAGTATCTATCTTCGAACCTTTTCTTCCTTCCATCGATCCTTGCTGCCAAACCATCCCTACCTGAAATATCGCAGCTTGCCTTGCCCCATCAAAGAGATCCTTATGATTCTGCCTTCGTTCTCCCTCGCGAATGGTCAAAGACCGGAAATCCTTTGCCCTTCGCTCCCTTCTATGCTGTTCCCATCAACCCAATGGCCCAAAAGTATCGCCTTGCTGCCACCACTGCTTGCAAAGCCGTGGCTCACACCTCGTAGCCGGAAGAGACGAGGAAGGCTTCGCAGCTTTTCCATTTCCTTCTCTTTGGTCTCACCCGACCCTCCTCTTCACACCCTACTGACGGAGAAGCAAGAGCGCAGCCCCGCTGCTCCTTTCACTTTGTTGCGTAGGCTCGTAAAACCCGGAGATGATCTCCCCCGTTGCTATCAATCGACCCACGACCTACGGGACTAGCCGCCTGCGAGCCTTTCTTTCCATCCCCTCGCGAATCGCCAACCACCGTCGAAACCCCAAATCAGATTCTCCTTCGATTTCGTTTTTGCCTCAACGACTGCTTCGTGTTCCTTCCGATCGACTTGCCATTGCTTTCGTTCATCCGTTGTATACCCGATCAAACAAAAGAAACGGGGTCTTAAAAGCCCTAATGTTACACTTTGGTCCCTAGAGTTTCAGGATTGTGGTAGTTATAGTCGAGTGATTTAAAACATGGCTGATAACGACCAATTACGAAAGAAATTTAAACCATAAGGGCCATTCGTGTAATTTTGATAACTAGTTAACGAAGGAATGGTTAAAAACTAGCGATAATGACCAAATTGACATGTAAAGTAAAAGTTAGATGACCTTATGAGCAAGAAAAAAATATAATTCGTCAAGTCGGACAAATCACAAAAGTTCATTGTGCTATAGTGACATTATCCTTATATAGAGTTACAACTTAGATATTAAGATTCGAAACAAGATAATTAAAAGTAAATTACAACAATAAAACTACAAATACCATATTATGGTGAAGGATCTGGTTGTGAAATGAACCGGTGGTTCAACATAAAGTTTGAAGCAAGAAAGCTCAAAGAATCGCCGTAGAAGAGGCTTCGTCACTATATCTGCGAGTTTGAGATCTGTTGGTAACAGTTGAGCAACAATTTTCTAAGATGATGCTAGTTCACAAATAAAGTAGTTATCAATGGTGATGTGTTTATCATGCTTCTTAGCTATCGGATTTTGGGTGAGATTAAGTGCACTACAATTCTTACAAAGTACAACCGGCTAGAAAAAGGCACCACATTTAATACATGATGAATATAAGTCAGTCAATATAGTTATGTTGATGTATAAGCAATAACACAATATTACGATCCACAACTTGAAGGAGAGACGATCGGCTTCTTTTTTATTACTCCACGAAACCTTGACCGAACCAAGTCCCTCAAGGTACAACCATAGAAACCAGAAGCTCACTTTCTCCTTCCATACGGTGTCCCCACCACCTACTCAAACCGGGCACCAGCTGTACCCTCCGATATCCACACCCAACAACCGAGAATTACCCATGATGCCTTATTGCTCCAATTCTCATCTTTCACTTGACTCATCTAGCTATAAAGCCGCGAACCATCGGATCCCCGATCCGAATTCCACTCTATCCATCCCATGTCGAACAAAAGACCCATTCTTCCATTCCGGAGCAACTCCCCCGAGTTCTCCTCTCGCAATAATACACACATGCTGATCTAGCTCTAGCACCCTCAGGTTTGAATAACCTGATACACTGATGATATCCTCAAACATCCTTCCTGGATGAACCGCTAATACATACCCAAAACCCTGATCAGAATCTCACTAAGAGTCCAAGACTCTTTCTTTGTATCCCTTCCGAACCTCTCTCTCTGGCTCTACGCCCGCGGTATTCCCTTCGCGCCCTGAGCAACATATCAAGTCGAATGAGATTTTATTCAACCGCCGCAACACACTACTCAAAGACCATCGACAGACCACTCCAATCATAACTCTACACTGCCGCTTTCACTTCCGTGAATTCGCACTCCCTTTTGGAATTTCATTCCCCCCTCTTTCCTTACCAAGGAAACCACTCGTCCGCCCAGTCACCATGACAGGCACTATGGTGCTCATCCCACGCTACACTACCTCTTTAAAGTGTTCCCGGCATCCATGCATCACCACTACTCTAACTCTCATCGCAGGGACTCTCAAGCCCATGCACTACCTTCACTGCTCAAAATTGCTACCCGGGGCCAGACCTCCCAATGTAATCACACTGCAACATACGCAACCCATAACCTCGAACCGATCCAACAATACTCGCAGAGTCTTCAGGATGACTGGACCGCCTCCCCAGGCCTTCAGCGAATCTAGGCCACTCTCAGGACCTTCAACCAATCTGACTGGACCGTCCTCTGAGCCTTCGGCCTGACTGGTACGCCTACCGGCCTTCAGTCTATCCGGACCGCTCAACTAACATTCATCACTCCGAACTATCCCTTCGGGAAATCCTCCCGCGCATACCGTTCTAGCCCTCTAGGGGTTCCGAACTCTATCTCCATCATACATACTCGATACCGGCCTGCTCCCATGCCTTCCACAATCAACTGCTCTAGGTCTGTATTCCGCCCCGCATGCCTGATACTCACCCATACGAGCCTGCTCTCGACTGATAGAAATATCGCTGAATTCCCCAAGCAGCTAAACAACCTTTCAGACCCAACGATCATCCGGAGAATTTCCAATTCTCACCCACTTAAGATATTGACAATAAATTACCGGTCGGCATCACCGATCTCCCAAAGTAACCTTGCAGAAAATCAACACTTACACGCAAAATGTTTCTCACCAGCGCCAACAACTTTCATAAAAAATCATGTTTCCACGCTGCACAACCCGCTCGAAAAGAACCTAATATTCAACTATCCATTCCTCAGACTGCAGAATCTACCCGACCTTCAAACCAACGCCGCATCTGCCACCAATGCTCACAAAGATAATCAACGATAGCTCGAAGTACAAATCCATAACCATATCGATCCTTCAGGGAACAAAGGATACCAAAACGAAATCTCGATCACAACTCGCCAAAGCCTCAAGGAACAACGGATACCACACGAAAACCTGAAACGTAATTCCATAACCAACCAACGAAACTAGCAGATAACAATACTCCACAACAATCATAAATAATCCAAAACAGCAAAAGAACATACCCGCAACAGCAAGCTGAAAAACACGACCCTAAGCCCTTGGGGGCTCCGCTCCGCCCTGACCTCCACCTGTGATCCTCAACGTAGCCGGTGCTGGAGCCTGCACCAGTCCTGCAGCAAGCCGTGGACAGTTGACCTTTAAATGTCCAACCTGATGACAATGATAGCATATCCTCAAATCCCGAACCGGCACTGACTGCCGACAATCCCTCGCATAGTGTCCCTCCTTTCCGCACTTGCGGCATGCTCCACCAGACCGACAAACCCCGGCGTGACCCCTTCCACACCCTTCCACAGACGTGGCTACCCTAATCTCCCATCCTGGAATCAACGGTCTTAGACCGTTTCGTCGCCGGCTGCGACTGAACCGGAGGGTTGCCTCAGCTTACGCATCTGCAACTCAATCTCTAACTCACGCCGCCTGGCGGCCTCCTGTAACTCCAGCAAAGCCTCGCACCTTTGCGCAGACACAAATTGTCTGATGTCTCTCTTTAGCATACTCAGATATCGGGACATCTGAGCCTGCTCCGAAGCGAACTCAGGGCAAAACATCGCCCTCTCAGTAAACATCATGGTGATTTCCGTCACCGATTCCGAATCCTGTTTCAGCTCCAAGAACTCCTGAGCTAACCTCTCCCTCTCGACCTGCGGAACATAACGAGTGCTGAACATCTCTCTGAACCGATCCCATGAAATCGCAGCCCTCTGCGCATCCGAGTACGACCCCGTGGTCAATCTCCACTAATCCTTTGCCCCGAGCCTTAACAGGTTCAGAGCACACCTTACCCTCTGATCAGCAGGGCATGAACACGTGAAGAAACATCCCTCCACATCTGATAACCATCTCATAACAACGACCGGATCCTGAACTCCATCAAAAGTGGGAGGCTTCGTATTATCGAAGTCCCGATACTAGAAACCTCTACTGGCTCCTCCCCCCTGCCACTACTACTGCTGCGGTAGCCGCCGCGGCAGCCGTCTCCGTGAGAGCCGCATAGTGCTCATCAAAATACTCCACCATGGCGGTCTTGATCGACCCAAACAACTCCGACAAATCAGCCCGAAACAATGCAGCAACCTCATCATGCAGGATCTCACGAATCCTCACGTCCAACTCGTGCGTACGCATCTGACTGACAATCTCGGGCTGAACAGTCCCACCCGGAACTCCCTCTCCTGCTCCTGATCCTGACCCGGATCCACTCCAAGCGTGCCCTGAAATCTCCATACTGAAAATAAAACACCAAATCTCAGACATATTCCACTATCCCGGGAACCATCTCTCATCCCAACCCTAGAGGTCATGGTTTCCCTGATACGCGTATGAGTCCGTGCTTTCAGTAGTACGGGCCCATACTACCTTCCACACCTACCCATATTTGTATGAAGTACTCCCACAACACCCTAGCGACATACATAACAACGCTCTATCCTCACAATTAGAGGAACACTAGAAATCTCTCACAAGGAACCCTAGGCTAGCAAGCATCATAAATCAGGCAACTCATCAAGAAATCCTGAAGATCCCTAGCCTAACTCTAGCATGCTGTTCTATCAAAGCTCAAGAAAACAATTGTCATGTATGGTATTTTGGGGTTACTTACTGGCTCCGGCTGATCGTACCTCCGCGTCCTCCTTTACTTATTTTGAAAACCATTTTTAAATTCTCTTTTTTTGGAAACCCTCCTCGATTTGAGACTGGAGTCACACAAGTGTTCCTCTAGTTCACTCAAACCAAGGCTTTGATACCAACTTGTAACATCCGAAAAATACAACCAATTTAAATTTTACAAAACAACCCGATTTTCATTAAAATGTTTACAAAAAGGTCTTCAATACAAATCATTAGACTATTCCCAGAACCACATTGCTACAAAATCATGAGGAGCGGTACGATCGCGCCTTCGCCTTGCCACGGTCTTCTGAAGAACCTGAAAAACATTAAACCACAACTGTAAGCCCGAAAGCTTAGTGAGATACCCCGAAAATACCAACCACGTATACGCCCTTCCAGGCTGCGACCTTCCGTTCCAAAACATATAAAACATACATAACATAATAGAACATAGAACATCCATGCATATCGGGTCTACTGTGTGACTGGTTCGCCGTATCGGGCCTTCAGTCCACCGGATCCATCCTCCAGGTCTAGTCATGTCCTTCGAGTCTACAGTGGGGTTGGTCCGCCCGCATCTGGCCTTCAACCCACCTGGTCCACTCTCTGAGTCTATAGTGTGG